AAGGCTGGGGGTGGGGAGAGGAAGCAGCCAAGGGCAGAGCAGCTTGGGGCTGGTGGGCTGACGAGTTACGGCAGGAGCCCCATCAGCCGGACCGGAGCAAGTCAGTTCCGTGTCCTTAGGGCCCTAGGCTGGGGCCCATGAGTGAGGGCGGGCCCGGGCCCCTCTTTCCCCCACCCATCAGTGGGGAGATTACACTGACGCTCAGGCTGAAGCAAAACGCCTGAACGTGCAGCGGAGAGCCAAGACCCCGCAGGAGAGCGGGGTACCAGAACACCGGGAGGTGCCGAGCAAACCCCGGGGAAATCCCCGAGTATTCCAGGGCCCCCTCGGGTACATCATATAACATGTGGTCATTTATAGCTGTACATGTTTAACCTCTCTAGTCCAGCACCCTCTGTTGCCAGGGAAAAGACATTTAGAGCTATTATGTTCAAGATGGAGTCTCTTTAGATTCCATCTTGTTTTCCTTCTTCTCCCTGTGTTACCCTTTTCCCGCCAAAACCTAAGTGCACATGGTCATCTGCTAGGTGCACCCCACACTATAGTTTGCACTCAGTCCAAAACTGTGCACTGGGCACTCAAATGAGCTGCACACCACTCAGAAACTGTGCACCCCTCCCTACTGGAGTGTTGCACACGGCACCATTTGCTGCACACCACCCTTACCACCCTTTTCCCACCTTGAAGGGCTTATAAGCCCTGACCAAGGAGAGGTTCGGGTTCGCCACTGTCTGTCCGTATTGTAGCCTGTCAGTCACTGTCTGCCATCCCAAGTCCTGTCAGTGTTTGTTCATTTCCCGTGGCGCTCCATTTTGGTTCGTGGGTCCGGGTATAAGGATTTTGTTCGAGCTGTGGGAGAGAGAGAGAGCCTCGCAAGTGTGGGAACGCCCCACTTAAGGATTATTGCCTTCTGCCACATGGACTTGAACTCCTTTACCGCTATCCTTACCTGCTGGATTGGACTGATAACACTCGGAACCTGACCTGTTCCGAATGAGAGAATTTTCCAGGCCACTGGAGGTCAATATTGTCTAGCAGCATTACCAACAGTTCCAGTGGTTACTGGGTTGTTAGAGGACATTTAGGGGTAAATTAGAGCTAAACAACAGCACAGAACATTGAGAGCCAGGACAGGTGGCTGTAAACATACCTTATAAGAAACACAGCCACACCCATAAAAAGTGGACATCCAGCTAGCTAAAATCATTCCAGATAACAGATGTTACTGGATCAGAGAGTTCTGAACTAGAGAGGTTCAACCTGTACAACATTCATTCAAAGCGTGTGTGGGGAAACTATCAGATCAGGGATAAGAGGGAAGGTCCTTTCTTGGATTGAGAACTGGTTAAAAGACAGGAAAAAAAGGGTAGGAATAAATGGTAAATTTTCAGATTGGAGGGGGTAACTAGTGGTGTCCCCCAAGGGTCAGTCCTGGGACCAATCCTTTTCAACTTATTCATAAATGATCTGGAAAAAGGGGTAAGCAGTGAGGTAGTAAAGTTTGCAGATGATACCAAACTGTTTAGGATAATCAAGTCAGAAGCAGACTGTGAGGGACTCCAAGAAGATCTCACCAAACTGAGTGATTGGGCAACAAAATGGCAAATGAAATTTAATGTGGATAAGTGTAAAGTAATGCACATCGGGAAAAATAACCCCAACTATACGTACAGTATGATGGGGGCTAATTTGGCTACGACAAATCAGGAAAGAGATCTTGGAGTTATCATGGACAGTTCTCTGAAAACTTCCACACAGTGTGCAGCGGCGGTCAAAAAGGCAAATAGGATGCTAGGAATTATTAAGAAAGGGATAGAAAATAAGACCCAGAACATCTTACTGCCCCTGTATAAAACTATGGTACGCCCACATCTTGAATACTGTGTACAGATGTGGTCTCCTCACCTCAAAAAAGATATTTTGGCCTTGGAAAGGGTTCAGAAAAGGGCAACTAAAATGATTAGGGGTTTGGAACGGGTCCCATATGAGGAGAGGTTAAAGCGACTGGGACTTTTCAGTTTAGAAAAGAGGAGACTGAGGGGGGATATGATAGAGGTCTATAAAATCATGAGTGGTGTGGAGAGGGCTGATAAAGAAAAGTTATTTATTAGTTCCCATAATAGAAGAACTAGAGGACACCAAATGAAATTAATGGGTAGCAGGTTTAAAACTAATAAAAGGAAGTTCTTCTTCACACAGCGTGTTGTCAACCTGTGGAACTCCTTGCCAGAGGAGGCTGTGAAGGCTAGGACTATAATAGAGTTTAAAGAGAAGCTGGATAAATTCATGGAGGTTAGGTCCATAAAAGGCTATTAGCCAGGGGATAAAATGGTGTCCTTGGCCTCTGTTTGTCAGAGGCTGGAGAGGGATGGCAGGAAACAAATCGCTTGATCATTGTCTTCAGTCCACCCTCTCTGGGGCACCTGGTGCTGGCCACTGTCGGCAGACAGGATACTGGGCTTGACCCAATACGGCCATTCTTATGTTCTTAAGTTCTTACGTTATGTTCTTATGTTCTTATCAGAAGGACACTGTTGGAAGTTCACTTTGCAATTGCGCAAATAAATACACAAGGTAAAAGGCCCCTAACAAGTATGTGTTTTTTATTGCAAAAGATACTGATTTATTATATTAACCTCCTTTCACTTTAGCAGCAGGAAGGAAGATTTCATTAATATGTTTTTCTTTAAGAGGCAGTAAGAAGGACCTAGTTCTAAGGATGAGCCTTGAGCTTAGACAGCATAAGGTTAGAGCTCTCCTACTTGTTTGTCTTTAAACTGAGCTCCAACAAACCTGCACTGTGTTATATTTCTTCTACCCACCTACTTGTCTAGTGTTTTTACATTTGTAAGCCTATGGATCAGAATCCTAGTGACATTTGTCTCTGCTTTGATTCTCTGCCTGTGGCTAATTGACCACAACCTCTCTTCGTTCTACACCTCTCATTGTGCCAGACTTTGACATGTTTGGTGTTTAGTTGGGACACAAAGCTATTCTTCCCATCCCTACCATTTATTTGGATCACGGGTAAATAAAATGCCCCTAATATAAAGGGGAAACTCATTTATTCTGTAATCATATAGTAATAAACCTTCAGCATGAAAGAAGCATTCTGCCTTCGCTCTCCAGCCCCTTCATACATAAACAATTACAGTAGGTTGAAATCCATCCAGAGAATAGCTGACGGTTGCTCTTTTAGAAGAATTCCCTCAGCAAGCAACCGCCATAACTAGTTGCACTAGGACAAGGAATATTGGGCATTTTCCCTATGATAGAAATTCCAGGAAAACTAACGCGGCCCCCTTTCTTCCATGTGTGGTAAGCAAATGTAAGCACCTAGCTACAAGTAAGCAATGGAACAATGGAGAAAAGGCCTCCGAGGATTTTTCTTCCTCAATTTATAGCTGCACTTTGGAAAACCCTGAGTTAGAAAAGGCATTGACCCTAACAAAATAACTGCCAGTCACACAAGAAGCCTGTCTCTATAAATGAACTCTTTGTAAATGCAAAGCTTCCAAGGAACTTTTTCAATTGCTGCTTAACAAAAAACAAAACAAAAAGTTTGGAGGACCTCAGTCAAGATTCCTCTATAGGAAGGCCCTTGATGCATGTTTTATATTTTAGAGAAGAAATGAAACCTTGTATCCAAACCTACATCAGCAGTCTTATTCCAAATAGGTCATTTTCAAATCTGGCTGCATTTATATCTTGTTTGTTTATTAATAAACTCTATTGCCGGTCAAACAAAAGGCACATTTGTGAGTCAGTGAACAGGAAGTACCCTTGCTTATTACAGCCTGCCATACAAGACAGCAAGGCATTTTCAAATATCATTACAAAACAAAAGCAAGAGATCGTAAAATAAAAGGTGAAGTGGGATTACTTGCCAGAAGCTGCCTGTGCCTTTCAGGAGAGATCATTACAACAGCATCTTTTCCCCCAGGTCTATCCTCCATCTTGTGTAAAGGTATTGTTGACACATACCACTTATTTCCCATCATGCCTCGTCAGATGCTAGGACTACAGATCATGACCACTATGGTTTCCTTCTCTCCTGGCTTCACAAGCCATCTTCTATGACTGAACAGTCCAACCCACTCTGCTCACAGAACTCGAGCCTAAAGCCAAGGTCAACAGAACAATTATCTTCTTTATAATGCCAGACCATTTCCCTTCTTCCCCCTCAATGGCAGAGCAGCCTACCCCACAGGTGTGCATGTACACATGTACATATATGTGTGTATATACTGTATATAGGCAAATAAGGAACTTGGTTGTATTGGTCTAGATATGATCCTACCGTAAATCTCAAAAGGCTTTGTTCAAATCCTGTTACGCTGCCTATTTAAGGTTCCCTAATTCTGGATTCTGACATTATGCCTTGCCACTGACAAGCTATGATCTCCTCAAATCTCACAAGATGGAGGGAAGAGCTTTAGAAAAAAGTTGGATACAGCAGGAAAAATGTCTGGTAGTATTAAACAAAATCCTTATTATGGGGGTAGGAGCACTCAGCTGTAGTGTTACCTGGAAGAATCATAAAAATTATTTGTGGTCATTAAAAACACTATAGTAGTTTTTCTGTCTACTAGGGTCACGAACCCTGTGGTTGTGATCAAATTCCAGCTAACATAATTACATTCTGCCAGCCAAAATTCCCATTTTATTTCTTTTTGGATAAGCATGTTCTTCACTTCCTGTTCCTAAGCTATTTTGTACTGTTGTATATTTGCAATTTGTTGCTTTTCATGCCAAAGATGGCTGCACTTTAGTTATGAACAAAGTGTTTCCAAGATAACAAATATTGTTTTTACAATCAATGAATTTGTAAAGCACTGAGAGTCTTCTGGATTAAAGGCACTTACAAAATGCGGGTTTCTCATTACAATTGACTAACAGAT